ACAGAAGTTTATTACCTCCCAAGCTGGAACATTTTCTCTGAATTTTTCATTTACCATACAACAGATGGACATCAAATAAGCTTTGCTAGACAATTCAGGAGCATAATTCACCCATAAGTAATTTTCCAGGTACTGACTGAAATGAAGGGGGGGGGGGAGAAAATAGTGACTATCTGTCTTTATGTCACTAATCAGGAGATCAGCAGTGCAATTGTTTATGAAAACTTTTCTATAAGCCTTGTAATTAGCTTTCAATGTTATCTTCCAACACAACTTATTTCAGCAAACTTATTTGTGACAATTAGAACAATTCAAGAATACAAAGCAAAAACATTGGTCTTCTTGAAATTTCCATTCATTAAATAAATAAAGACATTTTACATATATAGGTACAGGCATTATATGCATTTGAACATTACTTCAAATTGACTACATAGCAATAAAAAACCAAGCGCACCACCAAATTTATTAGAGTGAAACAAACGTCTGCTATCTCAGTAACAGACATAAAGTTTTATGAAAGTCATATTATGCAAATATTAAACGTATTAATCAAAAACAAACAAGCAAACTTTAAAAGATATCTGGGAGGTGTTAAGTTTTCTCTGATGTAGATTCTGAAGCATAATTTGGGAATCAAACCCATAAATTCACACAATCCTCCTATTCTCTTAATGCAAACTTCCTGTGCTAAAGAGTAAATAGTTTAAGAAAATTTCATTCAGGGATTCATAACAAACTTATGCTATACCAGACCACCTGTCATCAGATTTGGAATTAGTATCAACTCATTCTATAATCAGTTCATATTTTCTATATTAAAACAAAACTTACCTAAATTCTAGAAGCATTATCTTTCTAATAGCAAATCTGAAATCAATAAAGAAAATTAAATTTTGTCACATCAAAATCAGTAAAGAGCACTATCTCAGCCTAAACCAGGCATGTATAACCCAATAGCCTCCAAATATTGCTAAATTGCACTTTTATATTCTTCTTTATGAGCTCTACTGCTGAGAGCTATCCTATAAGCAGCCTTTGGTGGGAGGGAAATTTATGTATTTTTGAATGTAAACAATTAGCTATCTCACTTACATACGATTTTGGGCAATGTACATAATTTCTGTACAGAAGACTGGTACCTTTATCCTTAACCTGAAGAAGCCCCTTGCAATATAGTTGTTATAGTATCTTGAACATTACAATAGCATCTAAGGATATATAATAAAAGATTTTCTAGACAAATATGGTTCATAAAGGCCTGATTTGGATTATTACTTTCATTTATTCCAGTGAATAAAAACTGCCCATGCACTACAATTTATAGAAGAAACAAGCTCACATCAAGTCATTTTTTATTATGCATCATTACTTAAATGCATAAAATGTATCTATAAAATAAGTAGTTCGGCAGTTATACTTAAGATGCAGTATATGGTACATACTTTGATTTGACAATTTCTTTTTCATACACATCTTCAATAACCTAAAAAGAAAAAAAATGTATAGTAAAATGATTGTCTTAAGTATTTCCCTTTTCTCAATAATGTATATTTGCAAGGAACTAAATAAGCAATAAATCATCCAGCACTGTTATTTCAATTAAATTTTCTATTACTACAGAAATTTTACAAATGTCTTGCTAAAAATAAGAATGCATCTAGAATATAAAAAAGTAATTAAAAAACTTTCAAAATGAAAATTTTTGCTTGCTAATTTTAAGAGTAAAATCAATATTGTTTTACAGTAAAGATATAAACTACAAAAAATAGATTGATATTATTGCTCTTTATCAAATTAAACAACATTTTTTATTTCTGGTATCTTTGTCAAGCTAAGAAATTACTAAGTATTATATTTAAACAATTACCCTTGACTCAAATGGCAGTTTTTTCTTGACATGCGGTGCCCAATATTTATTTGCCAGCTGTAAAATAAAAGGTTACATCATTCAATTATATTATTTATATACACTGTAAGCGCTGTATTTATAATGTTAAATGTATACTCTTATGTAAGATTAAAAGTGTATTAGAAAAATGAAGAGATATTAGATTGTTTAATTTAGTAACTCACACTTGGGTTAGTTTGCTTTTCGCCTTTTGGGACATATACAGGTAGACCTTAATTTACAGTAGTTCATTTAGTGACCATTCAAACTTACAAAAAAAAAGTGACTTAAAACTGTTTTTCACACTTATGGCCATTGCAAAATCCCCATGGTCACATGATCAAAATTCAGGTGCTTGGCAACTGGTTCATATTTATGACAGTTGCAGCGTCCCAGAGTCATGTGATCAGCTTTTGCAACCTTCTGACAAGCAAAGTCAATAGGGAAACCAAATTCACTTAACAACCATGTCACTAATTTAACAAATGCAATGATTCACTTAGCGGTGGCAAGAAATGTTGTAAAATGGGGCAAACTCCCTTAATAAATATTTCCCTTAGCAACATAAATTTTGGGCTCCATTGTGTTTGTAACTCAAGGACTAACTGTAATTTTCATTTGATAAGTAATCCGGCATGACAACTGGAGAGATGATTCCTGGGAGTTATGAAATCTCTTCTCAGGTATCCAAAGGGCTGTCAGATGTAAGGTAGACTTGTTTAGATTTGTTCCAAAGGATGTAAGAAACAATGGGTTTAAATCAGAATCAGAAATAATTTTCTAACAACTAAAGCTTTAAAAAAATGAAATGGCTTGCTTCAAGAGGTGGTGGACTCTCCTTTCCCCCAGATGTTTTTAAAAAGCCGGATATCAAGAATGCAATGGCAGGGGCTTTCAGCAATGGCCAGGGAACTGGGTATATCATCTATGAACGAATGTTTCTCAATAGAAGCAAAACTTGCTTTTTGTGTAAGAGCATGTTTTTGTTCCTTTCTTATTCAAGGAGGTCAATTCTAATCATGTATCTAAAATTGTAACCACTTGCTGTAACAACGTATTATACTTTCTTCTATGTGCTTTGCATAAAGTTGCTTACCCAGAAATGGAATAACAGAACAGAACAGAATGTGTTAGTCTTTATTAAATAGATTGTCAGAAACAGCTGATTTTCTTATTAAATCCAGGGAGTTTAAAAATACAAATTCACCAGATAGATTCTCCCGGAGATTGCTTTTCAAATTATTTTCCAAGCTTTCTGTGCTTTATTAGCTTGTCTTATGCTTTCAACTTTGTTCTTTTTTTGGGGGGGGGGGATTTGGGTTAAGAGAGTCAACTACTAGAGGAAGAAAAGTACTACAGCACTATAGCCGCAGTATACTAGATAAAGTTATTTCAATACACATAAAGCCTAATATACAGAATAGAAGCAACAACATCTGGAAGATGACCTGACCTTGACTCTACTGTTGACAACTTGGATAATTTGGAAACATTTACTGAGATTTTTTTTCTTGCCCTTTGGAAGATTTATAAAGAGTAACTAAATTGCAAATAACTAAACTAAATTTGGTTATTGGATATGGACTTGAAAGACTGGAAAAATTTAGTGGTTTAATTTGGACTTGGACTATTGGACTTAATTTATACTTGGACTTGGATCCTAAATGCTAATTAACAGAACATCCTATGAGACAAAAGAAGAAAAGTGCCAGAAGAAAAGAATGACAGCTAAATAAGACTTTAAAATTTAGACAATTGGGAGATATATAACTGGGGAAATATAAACTGCAAATTGTAAAATATGGGGTTTTACAAAATGGATTTACAAGAGACAATAGAGATATATGGAGGAATATTGCTTATGTTAAAAGATATGCGTGAATCTTTAAAAGGCAACAAGGAGATTGCTTAAAGATACAGAAATGAATGTACAAACTATTCAACAATTGGGGGAAAAGAACATGATAATAAAGAAATAGCTGGGAAGTTAGAAGAAGCAGTAGAAGGGGAAAATCAAAATGACACACAAACAATTAAAAATAAAGAGGAGAAAGAATTAACAAGTAGAAGACATAACCCTCTAAAAGTTTATAAGCGAACAGAGAGAAAAGGGAAAAATCTCAAGAAAAAATCAAAAAGCTTTGTTGATGAGAGTTCAAATATCACAGAAAAAAAGAGACAAAAGATACTGAGATGAGGAAGATTAGTAGGTACAAAATAAAAACAAAGAGATATAAGATTCCAAGGGAGAGAGATAAAAGGTTGATTAAATAAATCAACAAATGATGGAACTCCAAAAATAGTTAAGAGATGATGGATAATGAGAAAATATTCCAATACATTGGGAAAATATATACAGGGAAAATAATAGTATATATACCAATAGAAAATATAATTTAATAATATAATCCAAATAAGTCAAGACAGTTGATGGGAATTTAGGATTAGGCAATCAAACTCAATTATTTATATTAATAGCATGTTAAAGTATATTATGAATTTAAAATATGAAGGACTAGAAATCATGCAGGATTTTGATATACTTCCAGGACTGATTAAATATTTAGCATTATTATTAAATATTTAGCATTATTATTAACCCTACACAATTGGAATATTGAAGTTATGGTGGAAATAGGAATAATTCTTAAAATATTAAATTATAGTATTTAGGATTATAAACGCAAGGCGCAAAGAAATGTTACTTACGTTTAAATGAGCTAATGGGAAAGATATTAGTTTTGTTGAAGTTGTGGAAGATTAGAATTACATATACTTATTTGTATTATTATTGTTACTATTGCTTAAAAGAGATTTGACCCAGTCAATGCAATGCCCCCAAAATATGTTTAGATTGAAAAATTAAAAAAAACTTATTTGAAAAAAAAGGAATGTGTCAGCCTTTGATTTGATCCTAACTCTCCAAACACAGTTCTGTCTGTGTTGCAACAGATAACTGCATTAAAATCTCTGAACAAAAGATACCAGGGTTAAGGTATATGGTAATTTATAATGTTTATAACAGAGCAGAATAAGTGGAAAAAATCTAGTCCAGTTCCGCCCTCTCCTTGCTCAGGCTGGAAGCTCTTACAATTTATATTGTCTACTTAGTATCCTAGTGTGATTAATGTTGCTTGCTTATTTAGTATATCTATCTATCTATCTATCTATCTATCTATCTATCTATCTATCTATCTAGACTATCACTAAGTGTTGTATTAAATGTTTTATTATGAATGTATTTTTACAATGACTATGATAACGATCCATCACTATTGTTGTATATACACTGAGAGCTTATGCACTGGAGACAAATCCCTTGTGTGTCTAATCAGACTTGGCCAATAAAGAATTCTATCCCCATCCCAATCCCATACCTATTTTATCCTATTCTATACCATTTCAGACAAATGGTTGCCCCATCTCTTCTTAGAAACGTTAAGTTCTGGAGGCAAAGCTCTCCTTCCATCCCCAGCCCAGTCCGAGGGTCCAGGGCAGCCTCCTCTCCGGGGCTTTACCTGCGTCACGAACTCCGCATTAATCTGAGACACGGTGGGGGCTACGATCTTCTTGGGAGGAGGGAGAGACCCCGGTTGCTGCAAAGCAGTTGCTACCGGCGCAGCCATGTTGCTCCCTCACGAAAATCCCTGCTCGAGTCGGTCAACCTCTTCCGGGTTCACGATAGGGAGGGTTTTTCCTCTCCTAGGCCCGCCCTCCTCTCCCCTCATCAAATGGGATTGCCCGTCACTTCCCCGAGTATCAGAATTACTTCCGCTCTTTGACTCCCACTTGCTCGCGGGGCGTTTTACGTAACACGCTCTCCACCAATAGGAAATTAGGAAGGGGGGGGAGGGAAGAGGGAAATAGCCGACGGTGCCGTTTTTGTATCGCTTTCCCGGATTTTTACTATGATAACGCGACTCCTTTTAGTAAAAGTAGAGGCCGTAGGAGGGACTGTAAGATTTCCCCTTTATTGCACCGCAGTTAGACGGCACCCCTTAGGTCAGTGTCAGTGTTTCTCAATCTCACCTACTTTAAAATGCGTGGACCTCTAACTCTCAAGAATTCCCTAACCAAGAAAACCAGTGCGCTGCTGTTGCCAAAAAGCCAATACGATCTTAGGATGCATCAATAGAGGAATAGAGCATGTGAAGTGTTAGCATCACTTTATAATGCTTTGGTAAAACCACACACACACACACACACACACACACGTTGAGACTCTAGAAAGAATGCACAGAAGAGCAATAAAGATGATTAGGAGCTTGGATGAAAAAAAAAACATTTGCAGGAAGCAGATATGTCTACTCTAGCAAAAAAAAAGGGCTAAGGGGGTGGCATGATAGCAATGTTGTAATATCTAAGGAGCTGCCACAAAGGAGAGGGTGTGTGTATGTGTCATCCTATTCTCCAAAGCACCTGAAAGCAGGACAAGAAGTTACCAATAGGAATCTATCAAGGAGACAATCACCCTGAAACTAAAGAAAAATTGCCTGACAGAAAAATTAAGTAGTGGAATGTTCCCCCCAAGTTTATTAGATTTTTATTTTTAAGTACACATCAATATCAATACATGAACAGTGTGGCCCCTGGGAGTAATTCATTTTGATACAAATATCAATAATGATAATCATAATAGTTGTATAACTTATATAATGCTCGTATTAATATACATGGGGTTTTTAAAAAGTTATTCAATATTTCAATATTCCATTTTAATGCTAATTACTACTTGTATTGTGTTATATAAAATTATATCTGCTAATATTCCCATTTCTTATTTCTACCTCTATTCCAACTTCCAATCAATTAAGAACAATTAAATAGTGGAATTTGTGGGTATCCCAACACTGGAGGTTTTAAAGAAGGGATTGGACATTTGTCTGGAATAGGGTCTCCTGCTGGAGCAAGGGACTAGAAGGAGGTCCTTTCCAACTTGTTATTCTGTTATTCCAGCATGCTGGCTGGGGAATACTGGGAGATGAAGTCTACACATCTTAAAGTAACTGAGATTGAGATACACCGACCTACTACATCCTGGTTGATCTCACAAAACAAAATTGATGGAGTGGATGGGAAACGATCAGAAAATATCAGGGTTACAAATTGGACTTTAGAGGGGGGGGGGAGTGAAGAAGACAATGGAAAACTGTCGTAATGCTTTAAGACAGATATTGAATATGTTCATATACAAAGTGTTCATAATCTTGCATTTGTTTGTATATAATTAACCACCCAATAGGTTGATATTCCCATGCTTTAAAAGCAAGTTTTGAAGGTTAATTTGGCTGCTGTAAAAAAAACCTAAAGATCATAGCTGATGAGGACTTGGAATTCACTGTAGTATTAGGAAATTCTATGGCTGTAAATTAAAGTGAGAAGTCACGAGAAAATCTGAAAGATGATAGTAGCTTGCCACTTCTCTCTTGCTGCCAAGATAACTATATAGCTGAGCCAATCCAGCTCATATAAAGAGATGTTGCTATATATTTTTTTCTGGAATAGATCTATTGTAATTAGAACTAGAATTGTTAGCACAATCTTAGAGAAGGTCAATAAATTCAATAGCATGCAAGGCACTTAAACATCTGAATAAGCATATACTGTGTTATACTCTTTTGAAGTATAACTACTATTGAACAACTTTTGAAGAAAGTGATTGATCTATGCTGAAAATGCTGGGTTTGCTGTAGCTGCTCTATCTACATCTGATGAACCTTCAAAGGTTTTTTTGTGAAATGATAAACTGAGATGATAGCTGCTCCCCTCTGCTGGACATAGGATGTAAAAGCAGGTGTTGAATTTGTTAAAAATTTCTTTCGAATGTTTTGCATATTCAATGTTTTTCAGTTATCCACATTACAGTATTCTAAATGCAACACTGAGTAGTAGTCAGTGATTGTGTAATAAAGACATTATGCTATTTTGTTCACATTTCCTCAAATCACACACATGCACAAACTTCCTCCAGGATTTATCTAGGCTCTGGCTTTGTTATAAAGATATGCGGATAATAAGTGGAAGGCACCTTTTAATTTAGTTAAAATATATTTCTGCAATGCTCAGCTATTTCTTCTTCACTTCACCAAAATAACTAATTTTGCTTAAAGTTGAGATAATGCAAGTAATAGTTTGTATAATTTGAGAATGACTAGTATATAATAAATCACAATGAAATAAACATAGTTTAGCACAATGTACATATTCGCTCACCATGCTCAGCAAGCCTCATTCTCAAATATATCTTACTAGCATCCCATTATACTTAAAACAGTAATAAGAAGCTAGTTCAATATCTATATATCTCCCTTTATAAACCATTAATAAGCATTTATTGAGCTATACTTAAATTATGATTATGTACTTTTATAAAGGAGACATTTCAGTATCCAATAATTATTTTTATATTAGAATTAATTCTTCAAAAGCCACATTAGTCTGTGGAAATACATTTTTACCTGGTTCTAATGATTTCTTGGTAAATTTGGATTGTTTATTACATTAAAAGGCAGCCAATGTTTTGGCACAATCATTAATTAATGTTCTGGGATCATACCTGATGTAAGTACAGGTTCACCTTGTGGAAAAAAATATCCATCTGGTTCAGTTCCAAGCAGGGAGAAATGCACTGGAACAGGGAGAAATGGAGGCTGGAAGCTAATTGGAAAGAGGTTTAATGATGAAGCAGAGCCACATGGGTTCTGAGCAGCTGACCAAAATGGAGTTAAGAGTAGAGAGTTTTTATACCTTCTCCTGGGCTTTGCACTTGAACTTCCTGTTCCTGTGTAAGAACATATATTCTACTGGCTGATGTCAGACTCCCATGGGGCCATGTAGGGTTATGTAGAGATCATTATGTAGGGTGCTAACTTGCTACAAGCTCTATTGTGAGAATTTTAGAGGCTGAGATAAGATAAAAAGGCAATTCTAAAGGGCTGGAAATTTCTATCTTAGGGCTACTTTTTTCAATAAAAGATTTCATTTTTTTTAAAAAGGTAATAATTGTGAGCTCTTGCTGCTTTCTTGAAAGCACTGGAGAGCATAGAATAGTTGATGTTCTATCTAGTCAATTTGCTTTTGATTTCTGGGACTTTCTGGATACTAAAATTGCAATGGCATCTTACAGTGATGCCAGAAGACTTGTCAATTGAAGCTGGGATTTTATACCCGGAGATTTCAACTTTTCAAACTGCAAGAAAAATTCACACAAAATGGCATTTGTTGATTTTTTTTAAAAAAATGTACCTTAGTTCATTTTATCTTAAGTTTTATAGAAAAACTTTGTTTCCTACTTCTTTAGGAATTGATGTCTTTCATGTAAGGATGGAGATGGTTCTGAAGAGCAGACAGCTTTTATATTTTCATGAATGTCAGATAAATAATTGTTTATTCCTCTCTACTCCCTTAGAAGGAATCAGAAACCATTTCAGCATCTGATAGAGCATAATTTGAATGTCTGTCTGGAGTCAACTCCTACACTCCATTTAAGATTATACAAAGATCAGACTTGACAAAGTCTCCTCCTTTGTTAACTGGTTTTGAGTTGGCCTAACAGGTAGTACTCTAAAATGCATTTCACATTTTTTTCCTAAAATGCTTGTTTGCTTTTTTGTTTTAATCTGATATATATTTTTTTAAACCTAAGTTACTAAATTTATTGGAGACCTAAATCGAGGTTACTTTCAGAAACCTGTCAGTTCAAATTTCCTTACAAAAGGACACAGAAGAAGAATTTATTTTTCTAAGCCATGGTTTGCTTAATTGTAGTTCAGAGGTGGTATTCAGCAGGTTCTGACCAGTTCTGGAGAACCGGTAGCGGAAATTTTGAGTAGTTCGGAGAACCAGCAAATAGCACCTCTGAGTGGAGATTTTACAGTATCCTTCCCCTGCCACGCCCACCAAACCACACCCACAGAACTGGTAGTAAAAATATTTGAATCCCACCCTTGCTGTAGTTTGTTGACTAAAGTATAATTGGCTGGGGTCAAATAATAAATTAAACCAAATTATGTTCGTTAATCAAAGTGTTTGGATTCATTTCACATGTTAAGCCAAAAAAAATAAAAAAATGAGCCACTGTATGGTGTTTTATACTATGTGAATCTAGCCTATCTCTCAGCATTTTTATACCATCTGAAAAGTATTAGAGAACTAATACTTTATCTGGAAGCATATGATTAAAGAGTGAAAAGCAATGCAGAGGGAGATTCATCTATGCTAATTAGATTAATAAGAACTCAACTGCATCCATAAACTGCAAAAGCTCTTGTAACAAAAATAAATAGATAAGTAGGTAGATAGACTACATAAATATAAAAAATATAAAAAACAACCCCCTGATACGCCTTCCCTTATTCTTGGGAAGTCACAAACGCACTGTTGGTATTACAGCTTAGATGTTAGAAATACATAATAACAAAGATAGTAGAAAAATCCATATGTGTAATTTACAAGCCTAAACCTATGATAATCATACTGAAAAAATTCAGAAATCCCATCTCGTGGGGACCATCTTCATCATGTGTTTGCAAGGCACAAAATTTACTGCCTGTGCAAATTCACTATTCTTTAGTTTGACAATGCTGGAAATCAAGTCAAAACCCTTTGTTTTCAGAGATTCTGAATAATGGCTTGTTCAAGGTAGTCGAACATATATCACAGGGTACACTGCCACCCCAAATTTATTTGTAGAGGAATTTAAATTAGCAAGGGGAAAATAGCTAAAAATATTTATGGGCCCTTTGAATACAGGGAGCATTTCTTTACTTACTTTGGTGGGCAAAGGACACTGGGATTAAAAGAACAAACAAAAATAGAATTCAAAGACCTGTCAAAACAATGAAAGAATAAGTTCCTTTGCAACTTCTGACTGGAAAAAGTCATTCAGGACAGCTACTTAAACCTTTGGTAAAAGCTGATGGGATAACTATGTGACATATCTGGGGATTTTAAATAGTTTAGTCAGCACTGTAACAATATGGATCAATCTAATTCAAACCATCCCTTTTAAAAAGATTGGGCATAAGGATTTAATCAGATGACATAATTTATTTTAGTAACAGCAGGTGAGGAGGGGAAATGTGTATTGTGTGGCCATATGCTTGTGTTTGTATGACTTGTTTACCTTTGGCTAACTGAATCATGATTTATGAAAGGGACACACATTTTGAGTTTGCATGATAAACTGAATCAAAAACCCATGAAAGCTGGGTTTGTATAATGTGCTGGTCTAAAAAGTAGTTGGCAAATTTATGATTATGATTTTCAAAAATAGCAATATAACAATTATAGCAATGGTAATTAGAAGGGGCCAAAAGGAACCGAAAGATAGTTTTTGGTGGCATTGAATTTTGGACCTGGGACTGCTCAACTCAGCCTGGTGCTAGAGAGACATCCTTTGCATCTGCTATAATGCAACCACAGCTATTGTAAGTAGGTTAAATCTACCATTGGTTCCTGGAAAAGTTACTCAAGTTGAAATAAGCCTCTGGATACTGATTATAGATTAACAGAGTTGGAAGGGACCTTATAGGTCATCTAGTCCAACCCCACCACCCAAGCAGGAGACCCTACACCATTCCTGACAAATGGCAGTCAAATCTTTTCTTGAAAGTCTCAAGTGATGACGGTCCCACAACTTCCGAGGGCAAGCTGTTCCATTGGTTGATTGTTCTCGCTGTCAGAAAGTTTCTCCTTATTTCCAGGTTAAATCTCTCCTTGTTCAGTTTCCATCCATTGTTCCTTGTCTGGCCTACAGGTGCTTTGGAAAATTACTTGACCCCTTCCTCTCTGTGGCAGCCCCTCAAATATTGGAAAATTGCTGTCATGTCTCCCCTGATCCTTCTCTTCACTAGACTAGCCAGCCCCAGTTCCTGCAACCGTTCTTCATATGTTTTAGTCTCCAGTCCCTTAATCATCCTGGTTGCTCTTTTCTGTACTTTTTCTAGAGTCTCAATATCTTTTTTATAATGTGGTGACCAAAACTGGGTGCAGTATTCTAAGTGTGGTCTTACTAAGGCTTTATAGAATGTTATTAATACCTCACTTGGTATTGTATCCCTCTGATTGTGTCTTGATTATATCCCTCTGTTAATGCAACTTAGGATTGCTTTGGCTTTTTTGGCTGCCGATGCACACTGCTGGCTATTTAGCTGGTTGTCCGCTACGACTCCAAGATCCCTCTCACAGTTACTGCTATTGAGCCTGGTTTCACCCAGTCTGTATGTGTACTTTTGGTTTTTCTTGCCTAAGTGTAGGACTTTACTGTTCTCTACATTGAATTTCATTTTGTTAGATGGGGCTCAGTGTTCAAGTGTGTCAAGATCCATCTGGATATTGAGCCAATCTTCTAGGATATTAGCTATTCCTGCCAGCTTAATATCACCTGCAAATTTGATAAGTTCCCCTTCTATTCCCTCATCTAAGTTGTTAATGAAGATATTGAAGAGTAATGGGCCTATGACGGAACCTTGTGACATTCCACTGCTTACTTCCCTCTATGTAGACTTAGACCCATTAAGGACTACTCGTTGAGTATGTCAGCCAGTTGCGAATCCATGTGCAGGTGATGCTATCGATCACATTTTTTTCTAGCTTACCAAGAAGTAGGTTGTGGTCTATTTTGTTGAATGCCTCATTGAGCTGTAACCCTAGGATGCAAAATTATCCAGGTTGTCTAGCAGTCTAATTTTTTTATACAGCTATAAACAGAGTTAAGTACATACAAAGATTAGTGAAGCAGTGACTGTTTCCCTTATCCTTGCTTGAATTGAGTTAGTCCCATTCTCAGGAATGCTGTCACACACTGTCAGAATGCTTCAACCTTCATTGTATCTAATGCTCTTGGACGTGTGACATCTATCACAGATGATTCAAACAGTAGCACAGAACAATTTAGTTGCCATTCATTCCTTTTTGTTTCTTGAAAGCAAAAGCTGAGCTCATATTTACTAATCTTTAAAAGAATCCCCAAAGATCCCCTGCTTTGAAATTAGTTGCAAGCACTATCAATTATATCTGCTTAAATGGACATATTTAATTACTATGGAAGGGAAATTGATTTTTAAATTACCACTGATTGCGCTGTGGGTATCTCTGTGGGAAGACAGGTACATCCAGGCTTTTAAGTGTAATGAGTATATTAATTAATCTCCCACTATCAGTCAATGAACAAAGTCTCACTTTCCTTTCAGAGTCATTGTTTTCGCTTTAAAACAAATAAGGATATTATGGCGTTTTCAAAATTGAGTTGGAAAGGATCCATTGATAATCTTTTTTCTCTTAGAGAAACCATCCTAGAATGTAAGCATGCCTGAATGACTTTTGCTTGTTGAAGAATTCTGTTCTTGTATTTTGTATAGCAAAGCGTAGGTGTTATGTCATTCAGCACTTATGCACAATTTTAGCAAAAGTGTCTGATCTAATAGGGACTAAATAATCAATATTCACTTAGGCAGTAAGTAGGACAAAAGCTGTGCATATGAAAAAATGGCTAGTCTGCTAGGCCAGGGTGGTTGAAGACTCTCCTTGCTAAGACACTTGTAAGCTAAATCTTTTCTGCCTGCAAATTTATGATGCGAAATGCAAGAGCAAAGTGAATTAGGTTATGCATTTCCAATGAAGAATTGCTTTCTTTGAATTAAGAAATAGTAATATCTGATATAAGTGACAGTTTGGCATCATGACTAAGGCATTTGGCTAGAAACATAGGAGACTACGAGTTATTGTGCCATTTAGACACAATGCCAGCTGAGTGACCCAGTGACTTGCCTGCCCTGGAAGTGATTCTTATTCACTGTTGTTGCTTCCCTTCCCTTCCCTTCCCGCTAGACAACTGTTGCAAATGCCAGTCAAGGCCTTATAAAACTTTGTAGAATCATTTTTTTTGTTTCCCCTTCTATGCCCTAGCCACAGCTCATACTGCTTAGCTTCCAAGAGCACTTATTTAAGGATTTGCACCTCTTTTACTCTAATATCTCTGCAAATTAATTTGGTGAACATCAATTTTTTAAAAAAACAACCACCACCAAAGCCGTACATGGCTCTGTCCCAGTATTAAAAAGAAATCATTAAAATAATTATTAAAAATAGTTCAAGGGGGAAAAGACCATCAAAATTCTATATAACAATTTCACAGAATAAACAAACATATATCTTATAATTTAGATTTTTAAACATTTTTTTATCTTGACTTTGTCGTTTTTATAAATACCTCAAGGCAGCAAACATACCTAGTACTCCTTCATTCTCCTGTTTTCCTCACAACAACATCCCTGTGGCATCCCTTTGGGCTAACACCAAGTTAGTTACCAGCTTTCATAACTGTAATAACCATATTTCTGTGAGAGAAAAAATAGTGAAAAAGCAATGGTCAACATGTGTGGGAATCAGACAAATGATCTCTAGAGGTATAATCAGTTTCAGGTGTGTGTGTTTGTGTGTGTGTGTAAAATAGAACATGAAAGAAATTTCATTCTAAAATTAAATGCTCTTTATGCCAGTGGCAAGAGAAATATTGCAAATATGCCAATCAATTTCCAGGCATGACCTGGCTACATACTTACCAGATCGCCCTATTCAATGTATTAACAGTTTTAAAATATGAAATGCAATCCTTTTATTTGTAAATGTAATCCATAAGTGACCCAATTCCATTGGGAATTTTCCCAGGGTTTATTTTATTCCCACGAGAAAAGTCTATGCAAGGAACCTGTCTTTTGTAATGTGATATTATAATTCTGGTTAGTATTTATCATTTTCAAGACTAAGTAATCATTTTAATAGAACTTAAATTGCATTCTGCCAGGCAATGGCTCCCTTGATGATATTAACCAGCACAGAGAGACTACAGGCAGAAAGGAAGTTTTAGTAAAACACTTTTAATAGGTGGCTTCCCCCAGATAGACATTTTTGATAAATGGTACATGCTGAAGAAATTTCATTCAGTAGTCTTCAACATCTAGAGTTAGTCACAACCCATATCACTATTTTAAGTGCCTTTTTAAAACCTTAAACAGCTATGAGAGCTGACCTGGAAGAGCAAAATACAGAGCTACTAGGGACAAAGACAGAGGTGGTGTTCAACAGGTTCTGACCAGTTCTGGAGAACCAGTAGCGGAAATGTTGAGTAGTTTGGAGTACTGGCAAATACCACCTCTGACTGGAGATTTTACAGTATCCTTTTCCTGCCATGCCCACCAAGCCATGCCAACAGAACTGGTAGTAAAAATATTTGAATCCCACTACTGGACAAAGAGATGTTTTTAGATGACATAAGTCCAAAGTGGCCATGCAACCTGGGGACTGTTAAGTTGAAAGTATCTCTCTTTTACAACTTCTAACAACCAACTTGCTTCTCGTTCATATCAGAAAGCAGCCTTCTCCTTGAAAAATGCCTTCCCTAAGACTGCATTCCAAATACCACAGCAGCTCTAGAAAAGAGCCAGGAGAATCTATAGACGGTCTAGATCAGGGGTGTCAGACTCGCATCCTTACAGTGGCGTCATTTGATGTATTGGGACTTTCCCCCCCTTTGCTAAACCGAGTGGAGGTGGGGCCAGCATATGAAACATCCGGCCCACAGGCCGTGAGTTTGACACCCCTTGGTCTAGAGTATATGGTTACTTCTCATGGACACACCAGTGACTTCATATGGAGAAGCAATACTAGCTTGGAACATGAGTCCTTTAGATCATCTGCTTCCTGCCTGTTTCCTTCTGCCATGCAATGGTACATTCTATTATAGCAACAGTAACAAATGAGATCTGATCTAATAGGTTGGCATTATGCCTTATTAAAGAAGGGAGGGGCTTGCCTGCAACATTTTCTTCCTACCATCCCCTCCTCTGTTATTTTCCCTATTCCTTGTTTATAACATTTCATGGAAAAGGAATTGTCTGTGTAGCTTAACACAGTATAAAGTATGTTTTTCACAGAAGCATATAAGGTTGTTTGCTGGAAGGGAAGAGACTAATGTGAAGCAGCAGCTAAAAAGATTAATGTGATATTACTTTAGCATTACGGTGAATAGACTGAATTAATCAGAATTCATTTGAAGCTTCCCTTCTTCTGCATGGGGAACTGAATGAAATAGAAGGTGTTCCTCCAAAATTTGTTTTCACAGGTTCTGTCCTTGACATTGATTAGTTCTCAGCCCAGGAAGAGGTATCAAGCTATATCTTTAGTTTTAGCAGTCAAATAATCATACCACTATAATTAGAGCACTTTGAATGAATAATACTTGCTGTTACTCCCATGTGTTTTATCATTGTTTTCCAGCATGTATCTACCAGTGAAGTTTCATTAGGTAGCAATTATACACTTAATTAATTTTTGCCTGGGGCAAAATCTGATGATATATTTAGGGAACTGCTTCTGTAGTAAGGCAATTCCTGCACCCCTTAGCAACTTAATGCCAAATCCCACTATCAAGAATTTCCTAGAGGAGATTTCAAGGCTTCACATGGGGGAGTGGAATGACAAGAGATCACATTGCAGCCATAGACTTCCATTCATGCCCAGTTGGATTCTACTTCAAATAGTGGTATTTCAAAATAAGTTGGCTTCTGGAAAAACAAATTCTTGGATTTCTTCTTCACTTCATTGCCTCCAGAGGCTGTGGAAGCTGCGCCAACCCTGGAGGTTTTTAAGAAGAGATTGGACAACCATTTGTCTGAAACGTTATAGGGTTTCCTGCCTGAGCTGGGGGGTTGGGCTAGAAGACCTCCAAGGTCCCTTCCAACTGTTACTCTGTTCTGTTAGAATTGCCCATTCTAAACACGATGCCAGAATGAGACCTTTTGAGTCATATCACAATGCAAGCTCCTTTTCATATCTACCTCCTCTCCCTCCCCCTTCCCCTCCAGTAGATGCTTGTGATTTCTCTGCATTACTGGGTTCTGTTCTGCACACAAAACAAGGAAAGGTAAGCTTACAGTTATAGAATCACTAAAGCATATATCAAGGAGCAAAAGAAGAAAGTCATTTGCTCATGCCAGTTTTTGTCATTCTGATCTTGCCAACACTCCTAAAGTGCATAAAAGTCTCCTTAGGAAACAAGAGGACTTCAGTCTTCAGGAGAGGAAGATGACTTAAGGACAATTCTATTTGTCAGGCTGCGGTAGCTCTACATCTATCTTACACAGCAGTATCTTGACAGACATAGGTTTGTTTACACCTACTAGCACCAAAAATGCAAAAAGGATGGTTAATTGCAAATGACATGAATGCTTCAGCAACCAGCACTGTTCGAAAATGTCCAAAGCAATAACATTCCAAGGGACAAGGAGAAAGTATATCACAATCACCTCTGACAGAGGAGAGGGAAAATGCACTGTTGTTTACCCTTGAATTTTGTAAAAGGGGTTGGCAACCTAGGATTCTCCAGATACTACTGAACCATCATTCCCAATAGCTTCACCAGCCTGACCAATGAGGAGTTAATGTCGACAATAGTAATTCAATATCAGGAGAACCATATGTTGCCCAATCCTGCTATAAAAATTAAGGCCAAGAAGTTCTACCAATTTCTTTGAGATCTAGCTGAGTTCTGAAGGT